ATATGCCTGCTTAATTATTCATTTCCAAAGCGTTCCATTTTTAATATCCCACAGAAGATTAACTTCTCCAGGATATTAAAAATGAAATTCTCTACCTTTCATACTTTGGAACTTATAAGTAATCTCATTTAATTAACTTTCTCATTTTCGTGTTTGTGTAACCTTGACTTCCAATGGCCTCCTTTCTTTCCCTTTTTAATACTTCATTTTTTCCTGAATTAATGCAAACAGACGTTACTGAAACCAAGCTACAGAAATTTTTCCGTAAAACTAATTTTAATACATTTCTAGACATATTGTTAATTATACTTGAAAATGATAATTTAAGAAAAAGGGAAAAGAATTCTTCATATCATTACATACGACGCCAAAGCTGTAAATCTATCATGCAACATAATACAGCAGTTCGGAAAAAACATGACAACACATTAACAAAAATGGTTTCATAATGAACTAAAATAAAGTCGAAATCTAGTTAAATAATCAATAGAGAGATTATAAGCCAACTTAGAAGAATTTCTGTCAAGGAAATATAAGACTCGAAAAAAAAAACTCGTACTGATGATAAACCTTTTCATTCCGGAAATTATATCTTTGTTCGCTGAAATAAAGCTTTCAGACATTTCAATTTTATCAAATTCCGAATATCACTCTATCTAATATCGTTAAGATTTTTCTCGACTTACAAATGGCAATTTTCGGTGTTCTCTAAAATCACTTCAAAAAATCACTTCAAGTTGTCAAACATATCTTCTATTACATGGAATTTAAGCTGATAGGATGACGAGTAGAAAACCAAATTTTTATGAAAAATTTTCTACTTTCAAAAATTTTAAACCGGAAAAATGGATAAACTCTGCAGCAACGAATACGAGAATGAGCAGAAAAATACTGTATGAAATCTACAAATCGAACAGTTTCGAAACAAACTTTCGGAAAAATATTTCTGGTGAAATAAAGCAAATTTATTTTCTTGATTGTATACATATCTTCTACAATTAAGCTCTCTAGAAGGAAGTCAGACATAACCTTGCACTAAGCCTTCTAGTCTTTTTCTGAAAATTACTAAGACAGTAAGGATAGAAACAAAAATTTAAATAGATATTTCTAAATTCACTTACCGCAAGATAATATGCAACAGAATTACTCAGAGACGATAATTTCCCAGCTACTTTGCTTGCGCCTACTCTCACACTATCTCTGATTGTCGCCATTTCTGGCATTTGACTCGCATAACCACTACCATATGAACTGTTTTCACCATCACCAAACAAATCAGCGCTGCCTATTCCACTTGAACCTTCGAAACGATTTAACCTTGATTGTGCCTCATACTAAAAGAAATTATCTTTACTCTAAAATCTCAACTTTTGAGCAATGTTAGCTTACTTTACTAGTAGTAAAAAGTGTATTTTCTATTTTTTTCCTTTCCTGTAATCAGTGCATTTTCTAATAAAACTCTCACATCTACTTGCGGGCCACCAAAATACTGATCGGATGATATTGCTCTTGCATTAGCAAATTTCTTCAACGTACTATCATTGGATGGCTCAGTAATGGCAGTGGTTATCGATGGCCTCGACCTGAAATGAATTTCCAAATAAAAAATCCTTCTTTAATTTGGCAACAAAAACACTCCATATTCAAAAAATAGGTGATCTAACAAAGAGTTATCCGTCAAATATTCCGATATACCAAGCAAGTTATTTCTTAAGATTACTAGATTCTGAGTTAAGTGCGTGTCACTGAAGCATTAACAAACATCAATACAGCTATTTTAATTTTTTTTTTGTATTGGATAAAGCCTTCATTATGAACATTGCTGTTATTTTCAGACTGTCATAAAATTATTAATCATTCAGAAAAAAGTGGGCAAAACAAATACGGTTTTTTAATTGAAGTTGTTGAAGCAGGAGTTCCCCAATTATCGAAGAAATCATCGCCTGCAGTTTTTTTTATGATGCAGCGATCATCAATGATGTTTGATCTTCCTTCATTCCCTCTAAATTACATATATGTAAGAAACAATTTTTAACAGTTACATTCGAAATGAACTCGAAAACCGAAAGGGAAGAATAGCTCGCAACACAGAGCGAGATGTACCAATCTAATATCTCTCTTCTTACCCTACTTCTCATACTTAAAACTCGCAAACTCCAGAATTTCTAAATAAAAACCTTAAATCGTCATCAACAATTTCCCATTCGCCTTCTCGTCGACTTGGAATTGCAGTTTGGTTACTACTTCTTGAAATGCCTTCTTGAGGAATAGTTTTGATACCACTTGCTACGGAATGACTTATTGTTCCCTTTCCAAAGATAGCGCAACCACTTCCCATACCGAGACGTTCAACCACATCTGCTTTACTATCATCCACATTGCTGGCTTTTTGTTTGGCCTAACATGATAAATTATCTAATAAAATAGAATCTTTCCTTGAAAAGTATTAAATTTAAGTCAATTTAAAAAGAAAACTAGTAAGAATATGAAAAATGGGAATTTTTTTTTGAGTTCTGCAAATCATTAACAGTCTCATCGACCCGTCAAAGACGCTAATTAGTAGTTCCAATGGCTTAGCTGTAAATTTTAAAAAGTAATACCATAGCACACCTTTTTTTCCAATTCTTGAATCAAAAATCGACTCGAAACTGTTGTTTTAGAACCATCAGACTCAGTATCAACATTTCCGGTACTTTTTATGGCAGAACCTTCCAGTGTTTCCTTCTCCTTGTCATAATTAGATGCTTTCTGTTCAATTTCACCAAAATTCGCAGTTATGCGATGTGCACCCATTCCTTTCTTAGCACCAAGCTGCAAAAAAGAGATGTTTTCATTCCTCTCATCCAAAAAAGAAAAAAAAAATGATTGAGGCATAAAAGGTGTCATCGAAAATAGAATCAGCAAGATAGATTTAAATGCAACCTACCCCCGATCTTTTCACCGGCACTTTTTTACTCGTAATGCCTGACTTCAATGGAATATTTTGATCACGAGCTGCATCACTTAATGATAATACTTCAATGCTCGGTTCTGAAAATTAGAAATTCTAATTTCATTCAAGCAGTTTTACCGCTGGTAAATTTTGATAAACTCTGCAAGACTGCTATTAACTAAAGGATCAATTACGACAACCAATCGCAAGTAACTTAATAACAGTTTTTTTATATGATGTGTGTAGATAATAGTTAATATCAGAAATTCATGTTTGGCACACCTCAACACATGCAAAATTGTTATTCTAGTAATCCAAATGGTGATACATTTATATAAACAAGGAAAAACTAAACAAAACATCAAGAAATTTATGCTTACCTAATATTGCTTCACTGCCATTGTTAATGAACGCATCCTGACTTATTGAGCATGAAGAATTGCTTTGATGAGCAACGAAATCTTGCGAAAAAAAATCAACTTCCTCCTTCGCATTTTTTTCATCAGATCCTTCATCTGTTATGAAATCAACATTTTCCATCATCAAAGAAGTGCCGTACTGCTGATATGCTTCCATTGCTAATGAGGCTAATTTTCCCTAGAAATAAAAGGGTAACACGGTTTTTTAGGACAAGATACATTTCAAATTGACTAGTAAACTCATTGATAGTCATAAAAAACTCATAAATTCTAACCAAACAGATAAGAATTTAGCCGTGGCATCAAAAGCTTTTCTGAACAATATAAAGAACGGTTTTGTAATGTTGTGCTAGGAAGACAGCGATCTGTCTTCATCAGAAGAATGACCAAGAATACAAAATTATACCTTATATAAATTTGAGGCTCTGCTGTTATATTTTTGTTGAGCATCATTTGTATTACAACCGTGTTGCTTGAAAAAATTATTCTGAAAAAATGGCCATTATTCTGAAAAAAATATCATGTTTTATACTCTGCTCGTAAAAGTTTAACATTAGCAGAAACGAAGTGCAATAGCTATATAGAAAAAACTATAAAAAAATAAAGCTAGTCACGACGCTTTATGGTATTTTCTGTTAGATAACGAAAAGAATAAAATAAAAAGATGCAGATCTCTGGTATAAAATACTAAGAGAACGACAAAACATGTGACGTACCACATTCATTTATGAGAGGATTCAAATTTCCAAATTTATAAGGCTATTTAGTCAAATGTAATTTGCAATTAAAGTCTGCGACAAAAAATGCAAAATGATTAGCACTAAAACTATAAAACAACAAAACAAAAAAGATAAAAATAAAAAATGCTTTCTGGTCCTCTCTATTACTTGTTCCTTTATTATTATCATCCTCGATATTTTTATATACATTACCAGCTCTAAATTTCATTCTCATTCATGCGAATATTTATATTAAAAAAAATGTTTTCCACATTGTTGTATAGGCTGCTGATGAGAGCTATCGTCGACCAAAACAAAACAGCGACCGGAAAAAAAGTCAGTTTGTAAATAGGGGACGGGTCCGAGCAGATTTTCACATTTCCTTATTAATACAATACTTACTTCCTGACTCCGTTTCATGCCCTTCTCTTCTCTTTCAAGAAAAAAACATACCGCTTTAGCATTTCCACCAACTTGCATAGCACGTAACTGCAACCATGTCCATTTAGTATCCAAAGTAGTCGATCGTACAAAACTGATATGAACGCCTAAATTGCGGTGTACCGCCGAGCAATCGATACATATATAAATACCGTAAGTTACTGATGCCCATGTGGGATTACGCGCGCCACAATCAAAACATTCCTGGATCACTGCCTTACATATTGCGCAGACCAAAACATTAACTTGAAATTTATTAATTCAAAATTCCCAAATCAGAAGCTGACTGAATTGATAATATGAATAAGTTTAACTATTTCTTTTCTGACACTCCTTCGTCGGATACCTTCATCCTTTACTGTAATAAAGGTAATAAAAAAGCTTTTTCTTCATCCCCGATCTTTTTCAAGTTCTATACACACATTCTTCCAATAATCTCATCTTATTACTAAACGATAATAAAAAAAATCTGTCCAACAAAATTCTTTAACACAATTCTAACGACGAAACTAACGACGTCTATAAAAATATTTTATTGCAAATTACTTCGCAAAAGAACATACTTTATTGCATGGTATAGCGCGAAGCTTTCGGAAAACTGTTTGGATATCTGTTTTTGATGGGGTTTCCTCTGTTGCATCCATTTTGTTTTCCTCTGTTTCTAACACAGAATGACAATTATGTCATTGACAAACTGCAGTAAAGTTTACGTTAGAACTTTACACATAAATCTGTCGCAGAATTTTCCCAAACATAAAATGCATCAATTCATATTTTATATAACGGGCTTAAATGTTCAATCATTAAAAAAACCAGTTCGATGACTGATACATATGTAAGCTGTTAGAATACGTGGCTCTAAGGTTGTCACTACATGCGTAAAACACAACAGTACTACACGAACAATACGAGCAGATACTGTGACAACGTAACGCACCACATTTCATTCAGCCCTAACATCGCTACACTTCGGAACAAATGACGTGACACTTCCACGTAGCAGAATCCAAAAGCTTGATGTCGATGTATGCGCTATGCAAACTTTACATCCCACTCCACAGTAACATTTAAGACGCTCACAACTCATAATCAACGCCTGGCAAAAGTTCATTTAAAATATTCTCCCATTCCTAACAAAAATTTAAAATTATGGACTGAAATCTATCTCTTCCATTTAAGCAAATTAATTGAACTAATGCCAGCGCGTTATTCTTCGAAGTTTTTAGGATAAATGGAAAATAATGATTCTGTGCTATGAGAAATAACGAATTAAATATAATTCATTACACCGATATACACTGCCATCAAAGTACAAAAAAAAATATGAAATATGAAGGAAGCTTCAGAAATAATTCAAAATAAAACAAATTTCCTAGGAAAAAAGCCAAGTTAAAGTGATTTTTGAGGTGAGAGTGGAGCAAATTCTCGGAAAATGCTTCAAACAAAACAGTTTCTACAATGAAAATTTCGATTTTTGCCATGATTCAAACCATATCTTCTATTGAAGTTACTGCGATTCTGCGGCATGTAAAGGTTGAGCTGCTGTATCTGTAAGAAATGCGCAAAAAGTTTAAACTGTTCCAAAATTTTCAACTTTCGCATGTTTCGCCTTTGTTATACTGGTTTTTCTGATGATCACCTACACACTGTGAAATCATTTTGAGAAATATTGAATATCATAGCGTACCATCATAAAAATGATTAACTATGTTTCAAGCAAACAATTTTCAATTAAACTAATGAACTTATTATAGGAAAATTTACCATGGCTTGAATTGAAAAATATTTTAGCCGAACTGAATGTGTACGAAAGTAATTGGAATTCCTGAAATACAAAATTATAAGATACAAAGGTGGAGAATACAGCAGGAAAAATTCGGAAGAAAAATAACGGCTCGAGCAATAATTGATTTAAAAAGTTTGCTTTCCTTTTTTTTTTCAAAAGAGCTATGAGAATTTTAATAACAGTTAACTAGAATTGACGAAATTTAAAATCGAATCGGAGCACACGCTTAATTTTTCAAGCGAAATTTAAATTCCACAAATTTTCACTTGTTTAAAAACAAACCAGATGATTTACAGAAGAAATCAAAATCAGACTTTTTGGTATTGATCAAGCTTTGCTAGACGGATTGCTGCAGATGGGTCTGAGGCAATTTTGGAAGATGAACTTCTAGCGCCAAGTGAAGCATTATAAATTTCTTCTTCACATTCATGGGCTACCGATTGGAACCAGTTCAAATCCGAGAAATAACTATGCTGATCCAATAGTACCAGGATAAATGCCACACCTAAAAACTTAAAATTTCAAAATCTTTTCATCCATCTCAAAACAGAAAAATCACCAAAATTTCAAAATTTTTCCAAATTTTGTGTTAAACATGTAATTCCCTCAAATTAAAAATTTCCAAAAAATTTTATTTGACATTTTTCTAAGCATTAAAATATAAAAAACTTTTTTATATCTTTAAATTTTGAATTTTTTGCTCAATTAATTTTGCTATTGAATTTCCATAAAATTCTCTCCGCCATACCAAGAATGAATCCATCATCAGTAAAAGTATTATTTTGTCTTGCTCTTCGTCCTAATTTCCCTTTGCAAGACAGCATTCGATCCACGTAATTGATTGTCAACGGTGGCACAATCATGTAAAAGAAGTTCAAATGTTCATACTTCGTATTCGTATTCCCGCGTAATTCTGGTGCAAATGCTTCCACAAGAATCTGAAGTTATCTATCTATCTACATACATATATTTCGAATTTTAGAAGGATTTATAGGAATTTTTTGCTAAGGTTATTAACAAATTAATAAAACTCTGATTGTAAACCTGTAAATAGTTGTCCGACTGATTAATATTCTTCTTCGCCACATCAAAAACATTATCTAACACTTTAGCAGCACTAATACTCTCCGGTGATAGTTTTGCATTGATTGCAAGCGGTTCAAAGGATGGAATATCATCGAGGCTGGGAAGAAATCCCAAAGATTGCATATTCGCTTCAACACCACCTGATCTGTAATGTTAAATGATTTTAAACCTAATATTCTCTGTCATATAGAATGCTTTCATATAGCCAAGCATTCATCTCAGCGAAAGCGATAATAATGCATTTAACAGTTTACTTGGACTTTTTATCAGCTAAACTATTGGTTTACTAGGATAAGAAGTGAAATAAAAAAGTCAACTACTGACCTGACAAGTCTTACATAACCCATAACATTTCCGATCTCAGTAATCAGAATACGTAACTTATCCAAATACAAATCATCATCTGAAACACCGAGAAGCCGAATTGCAGCGCTGAAACGTTGTGCTCGACTTACTGGATACTGGAATTCGATAGGGATAAATATTTCCCGTTAAGTCTAATTCTTTGATAAATATTTAAACAGGACTGTGAGAAAAATCAAAAAAGAAAATTTCAAGCAACAAAATTCGTTAGGAAAATTTGTTAGATATTTTTTCACTTTTTTCACTATTTGGGCTGAGAAAATATTCTTCATAAATTTTGGGTTTTTTAAGATATGGAAGAAAAACGATGGTTACAAATTGAAGAGCTTTCTGGTATCTTTCAATTCACTTTCCTTTATTTCTAGCTTTTAACTCTTAAAAGTACCAGAAAAAAACATTTCTATGCATAAAGAAAAAAGATAAAGAAATAGAATTTGTTCACACATATCGGAAGACTAACCATTTTTCCGAGTTTTTCAGCATTCTGATGAAAATATCGCTCATCCTTAACTAACTGATTTCTAATACGATCATCGTATAAAAGTTGTGAAAAAACGTAGAATTTTTTTTTCAAAAACTGATATGCATGATTGATCTACAATGCAGCAAGAGTCAGCAAAATTAATGTAGTAGAATGCTTTTGTTATTTTTGTTTTAGAATGATTACTATTACAAGTGCTTATTCTCTTTTTAGATCTGCAAATATTCAATAGCCTAAAAATTTTCGCATCGCAATATCACTATTATGAAAGTTCTGAAGGTTAATACTAGAAGTTTGAAAGTGAAGAAATTTTTAGCCAAATGAACTGATCGTGATGCAAAAATTTTGCAGATGAGGAAATTTACTTGAACTCATAAAAAGTAACCTTCAAATGCTTCATAAACATTTCATGTATAAATTTTACGGACTTTCTTTCTTCATTATTCGCATCTGTCGCTCAAAAAATTCAGATGAAAAATGAATAAAGTTATCAAGCAAAATGGAGAAAATAGTTGGATTTAATCATACCGTCGTATGCATGATACCCATACCGTGAGTTCGTATCGAATTAGCAACGTGTTCTGTAGTTAATATTGTTAACTGTTTGCTTTTACTATCTTTTTCAATAAAGAACTGAAACGAAAACGATCATTTAACTTCATTAAAAAAGAAAAAAACAAAAATACAGTGGAACAAATGAACAATGGACAAAACATTTAGAATTTACAAGCAAACAATTTTTTGAATCGTTTTAAATTGATTTACTGCATTAATTAAAATCGAAGATATCAGAATAAATTACATTATTGGACTTGAAAAGTAATACAGTTGACATGAAGAATTTTAATCAGTTTCCAATGAATTATAATCAAATTTCACATTTCAAGTACCGATAAAATTAATTGTTAAAATTATACTTCAAGAATCTTGTAAATGATATATGAGATATTTCATTTCGAATTAAAAAATTTCAAAATCTATTTAAAAATTTCCTAAAACATGTAAAATTATGTACCTGTTCATTCAAATTATAGTTATAACTTTCCACAAATGAATCGATATTTCGGGCAACAAATAACACATCTGGACCTTGATCAAGCTTTTGAAATGGTAGACGACTTTGACATAAGATTAAATTATACTTTTGTTCGGCCAACAAACTCATCGCCATATAGGTATTCGAATCATGTAAAGCTACTGCTGTCAAATCATAGAATGTACTTTCCAAATATTTCTCAACATATCCTAAAATCTTGATAAAATAAAGATCAGTTTTGCCAAATACTTTATAAATAAATTTGCTATTCAATCTTTTCGGCCATCAAACAACTTGCATTTCTTCTACGATAACTCATTTTTCACAGAATTTCTTTTTTTTAATAGTATGTTATATTGAATGCTTAGGAAGCTCTAATAATACTGATTTTTGTGTTAATATTACCAATATGCTAATAATAATTTAACATTATTATATAAAAAACAACAGTTACTTTTAACATCAATCAATCGATCAAAGAGTTGCACCGCAGGCATTTGTAATAAATTAACTAAACGCATGTTTATATCATGCATCGGATCTTTCGGTGTACGATCATCCAATTGGAGATGAGAATGAACGGTTAACCGTAAATCTGTTTCTACTGCTTCGCATAATTTTTTTAAATACAACTGAAAATGGTTTCATTATATCTGAGATGTTATGTGTCCATATTACAAAGAGCTAGACAAAAAAATAAAGTGTGAAATTTTCATATAAAATGGTTTAGACTAAGTGCGATGACATTTATAAAACTTCGATAGATGTTTTCTTTCATCGAAATTCAGATTCTTATCGCGTTTTTAACAACAAAATTAAATGACCGCTATTCTCTGACTTATAAGTTGTAACTTGAAAAGATAGCTATTGTGTTCACGAGAATTGAGATTTCAGTTATGGAAAAATTTTGCTCAGGCAGAAGTCCAACTCAAATATTACGGTTCATGCATAGTTTAAACTAATAAACCAATTTAAAAATAACACACTGTTACATGGTGCCAGATTATATGAATCGGTATTTCAATTTTAAATTCCAACCTTTTCATATAACTCATATAATTCATCCCGTATCGATTCCTTGACCCTTCTGTCCAGCGCGCTTTCATCTGAACCCAGTATTGTCTCTATGTCATTGATTGCACCGAAGAATAACTGGAGAAAAAAAATTAAACTTCAAAATGGAATTTAACAAGAAAAATTCTGAAATATTCAAGAACAAAAATGTCAGCATAAACAAAATGCCATGAAATTACACTTAAAATGGCTACACTTGACGCATGTTTTGCGCGATGGCTGTATCTTTCAGGTGACACTTTAAGTAACCTCCAAGTGACACTTTAATCCGATACTATGAAACATGTGTAAAAAACACCAAGCAAACCTCAGGTCGTGAATTGTTATCCTCAATGATTGCATTAAAATATGCGGCGATAAAAGATCGATGCCAAAATAAAAATGAACAATTACAGGTGCGAAAAATAATATTTCCTAATGATGAAAGCGTATCTAGACGTAAAAGTAATTCGTCTATCTTTTCGACATCACTACCACGAAATATTTTCTATAAAATAACCGATAATTTAAATATTATCCAAAAATGAGAAAAATATTATCCAAAAATGAGAAAAGATAGTATTTCTGCGAGTTGTGAGTGACTATGAGTATTATAAATTTAACAAAAATTGACGCAAGTTACTGCAAGATAAAAATGTAAAGTAAAATAAAATGTATATTTGAAATAAATGAGAATGAAAATAAAAAATAAAAAACACTTGCTGTATAACAAGCCATTTCTAACGCTGTGCCTACAACAATTAAACTGGTCCGTGAAACTGAAATATCAAAAATTAGCTGAAGCACTGAGTTATTATCTTTGAAAAATGAGATAATTTCCAGAGATTCGGAAAAACCAAATAAAAGCTGCCTCATTAAACTTCAATTTACGTTGATTAAAGTTGTAAAATATTAGGCAAGAATTTAATTTCATTACTAAAATCAAATAAAAAAGAAAACACTTACTAGAACCCAAAAGAGCATTCTCAGCAACAGTTAATGCAGAAAGTGTGTCGACAGTATGGTAGGAAAAATCCGATTCGCTACGAATTGTCTGATGTACCGTATTGATCAAATGAATAAGCTTAGCACTACAGTATTGGACTGCTTCTTGACAACTTTCTAAAACATCATACCACCATTTGCAGAATATCTCCTCGATTTCCTATAAATGAATAAAAAAATAATGCAAATTATTTTTTTGGATATATGAAAATCAGTAAGAAAATATGCTGCGACTTAGTCAAGTATTTTTATGAGTTTTATCATTTAATGCAAATAAATAATATTTTGGTTACAATTACAAATAGAAACAAAGAAAGAAAAGTACTAGAATTAAAAAAAGTCGGACAGTATGGAAAGAAAGTAGTTGAAGCACCACAGATGTTGTTTTGGAATTTCAAATTTTTAAAAATATTGATTTCTGCTCATTATAGATCTGTTTATTAACACATAAGAATCTATCAAAATCAGAAACATTAGCTATGTGTAAAAATGTAAAGGATGCTGCGCACTTCAATGTACAAGCCATGTCCAAAAATAGTAATCTTCGCTATTTAATTTTTGCTGCCTTTTCTTATAAATTAAAATCATACCTTAATCGTTTCAATCAAACGGAAAGCAGCTGAAGCAGAACTACGTGATATAGCTTTCTGTTCTATCACCAATCTACTCATCAAAGTTTTCAAAAGTCGACACAATAAATCCGCATAGCGTATACCCTGGAAAATGTTTCTCCGTTTCTGTAATTGAATGCTTGTCATTTCAAATTGTTTTTATGAATCTTTATGATGAAATTTGAATTCCTCAACTTACATTCGCATAAATTCGTTGTAGTATCGCATAGTTTAATACGAAATATATTAATCGAAATCGATAGATTTTAATCAACATAGACTACAGATCGGTCATCCAGTTTTCGCTCTTAATTTTTCTACTATTGTCTTTATTGTCTTTCAAAAATATCTTGCCTGATTGAGATATACAAAATGGTAATTTGGCATATCTCAATCAGGCAGGATATTTTTGGAAGGTTGATTTTCTTTTGTTTTTAGAAAAAAATTACTCGCAAAAAAAGTGAAATTCGTAGTGTCAAGTGATTCTTCGAAATTCGTTCAGGTGTCTCTTTCATCTTTTCGTTCATATCACATTTCCATTCATCTAACTACAATATAAAAACATGAATTATTTTGAACCGAATAAAAAACTATCCACGTTTTTCTCTTTTTGGGGAAGGATAATTTTTGATTCGAATACATCTGGAACTTAGTATATTTTGGATAAATCGTTTTTCTTTAAACACAAGAAAAAGTTCACATAGATTATCCAAGGAATAATTAATTGAATAAAAATGTCAGTATACGCCCAATAAAAAAACTCGGATAAGAGCAAAAATTTTAAAAAATATTGACTGATAAAATAATTTAAAACATTATATATCACAAGCCTCACAAAAGTTTCATTTTCTAAATGCAGTATATCATTATCAGACGCTGACAAATTCACCAATGATCGCCAAACTTAAGATAAATACGTTTATTAAAACACACACACACACACACACACACACACACACAC